GCCATTCACACCTTCCCATCTACCTCAGGTGCAAGAGCAGCAGCAGCCTCCACTGCTGTGTCAACCTGTCAAGCAGCTAACTGGCCAGCAAAGCTTCACCTCAGCTTTTGGAGCACCCACTTCCCCCAAGTCTCTTTGTTAACACACGCAGCACACCATCCCAGCCCAGGATTCTCTGCCTCTGCTTGGAGGAGACCAACAGCTACTCAGCTTCTGCTTCCCTGCTAATGCTATGTTTGAAGAAGAGAAGGGAGGATTTCCTCCCCCACACAGATACTCCTCCTTTAAAATTTAGTAAGGGGAAATGAAGGGGTAGATCAGGCTGCTATCACTTTATCCTTGTTTCTCCCTTTCACACAAGCTCATTGCTGATCTGGCATAGAGCATATCTTAAACCCTGTTTTTAAAAACTTATTTCAGAAAAGAAACAACAGAAAAGGAAGGGGTACCCTTTCTCTACACTGTCATCAGACTGACTTGGAGGCTATACACCCACCACTGCTTCGAGACAAAACAGGTGACTACACATGCCTGAAAACAGGAAAGTTCTGTGATCTCAATCGTACAAACAAAAAAAAGAGTAGGCCCTGCCAGTGCTCCAGAAAGGATCAAAAAGAGACCGGAAAAGCCCCGTCTGGATCACTATCAACTGTACATCATGAAATCAAAGCTTGCTCTGTCACGTTTTTTCAACCAATGTGCATGTAACAGCATGAGTTCTGTAATAGTGTCATGCATAAAGGCAAATCAGATGTATAGAGGGAAGACAAATTTTACAGAAATGGTCTTTTCCTATCCTTGGAGCACCAGAAGAGTTGCAATGTAGGTTTGTTGAACCTAAGTTCTACCTGCGTCTACAGTGCAAATTGTCTTAATGTGTTTAAGAATTGGCAATGTTTAAAAATATTAGCTAAGTATTCTTCCAGATCCAAATGTTTGCCTGTGAACCTCACTTTGTTATTTAATTATTGTACACCATCTTGGATGGCCCTAGTAGAAGGGAACTCTTGGAATAATAATATTAACAACAACAACAACAACAACAACAACAACAACAACAACAACAACAACAACAACAACAACAACAACAACAACAACAACAACAACAACAACAACTATATGATGATGACAACTGTGAGGATTATCATGAAGCATATTAGAGGGTCATCTAAGACCAAGAATCATATCTTCCTTCAAAGATAGAGCTGGTTCCAGCCCCAGCACACATACCATTTCAGAAGTGGGTTGGGCAAGTGCAGTCAACAGGCTCATGTTTTCCTTGGAGAATTAAAGTACTGTAATAGAACCCATGATCAATTCTTTTATACATGCAAGAGCCACAGAATAAATGTGAACCTGATGATACATGAACCTGATGATTATGAACATTTCTTTGGGACAAGAACCGCAACAAATCCATAGCTTCCAAATGTATCCTGGCATAGTTTTCAGCTTCACTTATCTTTCACAACATTTGTGAAAAGTGACTGAACAAATCTGTGCAACAGTCATTGTAATACAGTTTGTTATAACATTCATGCAACTACCTCCCTTGATGTATATAGTACATGGCATACTTTCAGCTCAAAGAAACAATTGCATATTCAAGGAAGAAATTAGGCCTGGAGCTGTTGCAGAGCACACGTCTTGGCAGCCAGGGCTGGCAGGATAATATTTTTCAGTGGTTTCTTTGAAACTGCCATGGCTGTCAGGAAACATTTGCTACACTGGTTCCCAAACTTCTTTGCATCACACCTTTTTTCCCTTTTGATAAACCCTCATGCCTCCTCATCTCTCCTTTACCATTGTCCAACCACCTTTTAGCAAAAAAAAACTACAGTATCTTTAATTTTGAATTAAAGTAACTTTTTTTAAATAAAAAGGAAGTAGAGATGTCTCTGTGGCTGGAGTCATTGATGTATTTGTGCTTATTTATATTCATAGAGTCTGTTTACACATGCTGTCATGTGCTGTTGTCAAGTCAGAGCCAACTTCACCCCCAGTGAGTTTCCATGGCTGAGCAGGGATTTGAACCCAGGCCTTCTGAGTGCCAGTCTGTCACTTTTTCCACTATGCCACACTAGGTACTGTACTGGATTTAAGCCTAAAGGAGCATAGTAATTTACTGAGTGTCAATAAAGCTATTGATAGGGAAAACATGTCCTGTGACAGAGGATGTCACAATTCAGGTAACAAGTGGTCCATAGGTTTTGGAGTCTGGGTCTTTTTTTTTCAGGCATTCGGGTCACGGTAAAGGTTTCTTTGTGAATTGTTACGAAAGCTGGTTGTGGAGCCAGTGGTTGGGGGATGGACGTCCCACTGGTCCATCAGGGAAGAAGAGCCGGCCTTTGTTGCCTTGGGCACGCTCATCACATGCCAAGCAGGGCTTGATGAATTGCTTTTTTGACTTCAGCTCACACAATTCTACTAACCGGGCTAGCCATAGGTCAGGATCCTCCAATATCATGATGAGATCACAACCAGCAGAGGTTTTGTTTCTCTGCAAACTAAGAGGCAATAAACATACAGGCTGGGCCTTCAACTGGTCAGGATGGATCTTCCTGTTTGGTCAAGATGAGTTTTGAAGTTGGGATACATGACATGTTGACAGCTATGGTGTCATAGTGAATACAGTGTCTGACAGGAATTGAGGAGGCCTTGAGCGAGGAAACTAGAGAAGTGAGCAGGAGCATAAAAAATCACTTTATTCTCAAAAGCTTCAAAGTCCCCTTGTACTAATAGTCAACAATCCAGTTTCTTTAAAGATGCTCCTAAAATTATTTATTCCTGAGTGACTATTGATAGGGAAAACATGTCCTATGACTAAGGATGTCACACTTCAGGTAACGAGAGGTCCCTAGGTTTTGGGATCTGGGTCTTTGGTTTTCAGGCATTCGGGTCACGGTAAAGTTTTCTTTGTGAATTGTTACGAAGGCTCGTTGTGGAGCCAGAGGGTGGGAGATGGAGTTCCCACTGCTCCTTCAGGGAGGAAGAGCCAGCCTGTCTTGCCTTAGCCAAGCTCATCACATGAAAAGCAGGGCTTGATAAATTTGCTTTTTTGATTTCAGCTCCCACAATTCTCCTAACCAGGCTAGCCATAGGTCAGGATCCTCCGATGTCATAATGATGTCACAACCAGCAGAGTTTTTGTTTCTCTGCAAACTAAGAGGCTGTGCCTTCAACTGGCCAGGATGTCTCTGCCTGTTAGGTGAAGATGAGGGTTGAAGGTGGGCTACATGACTTGTTGACAACTATGGTGGAAATTATTTATTCCTGAGTGTCAGTTAAGCTATTGATAGGGAAAAAATGTCCTGTGACTGAGGATGTCACACTTCACGTAATGAGTAGTCCCTAGGTTTTGGGATCTGGGTCTTTGGTTTTCAGGCTGTCGGTCACGGTAAAGGTTTTTTTGTGAATTGTTACGAAGGCTGGTTTTGGAGCCAGAGGTGGGGAGATGGATTTCCCACTTCGGTTTCAGGGAGTAAGAGACGGCCTGTGTTGCCTTGGGCAAGCTCATCACATGCCAAGCAGGGCTTTATAAAGTTTCTTTTTTGACTTGAGCTCACACAATTCTCCTAAAAAGGCTCGCCCTGGGTCAGCATCCTCCGATGTCATAATGAGGTCACAACCAGCAGAGGGTTTGTTTCTCTGCAAACTAAGAGGCTGGGCCTTCAACTGGTCAGGATGGATGTTCCTGTTAGGTCAAGATGAGGGTTAAAAGTGGGTTACACGACCGGTTGACAGCTATGGTGTCATATTGGATAGAGTGTCAGGCAAGAATTCAGGAGGCCTTGAGCGAGCAACCTAGAGGAGTAAGCAGGAGCATAAAGAATCACTTCATTCTCAAAAGCTTCAAAGTCCCCTTGTACTAATAGTCAGCTATCCAGTTTCTTTAAGGATCTTCCTGAAATTTCAATTCCTGAGTGTCAATTAAGCTATATGTAGGGAAAACATGTCCTGTGACAGAGGATGTCACACTTCAGGTAACGAGTTTGGGATCTGGGTCTTGGTATTCAGGCTTTTGGGTCACGGTAAAGGTTTCTATGTCAAATGTTCCGAAGGCTGGTTGTGGAGCCAGAAGTTGGGAGATGGATTTCCCACTGGTCCTTCAGGGAGGAAGAGCCAGCCTGTGTTGCCTTGGGCAAGCTCCTCACATGCCAAGCAGGGCTTCATAAAGTTGCTTTTTTGACTTCAGCTCCCACAGTTCTCCTAAGCAGGCTAGCGAAAGGCCAGGATCCTCCAATGTCATAATGAGGTCACAACCAGCAGAGGTTTGGTTTCTCTCCAAACTAAGAGGTAGTTAACAGTGAGGCTGGGCCTTCAACTGGTCAGGATGTCTCTTCCTGTTAGGTCAAATTGAGGGTTGAAGGTTGGCTACATGACCTTTTGACAGCTATGGTGTCAAAGTGAATAGAGTGTCAGGCAGGAATTCAGGAAGCCTTGAGCGAGGAACCTAGAGGAGTGAGGAGGAGCGTAAAAAATCACTTCATTCTCAAAAGTTTCAATGTCTCCTTGTACTAATACTCAACTATTCATTTTCTTTAAGATGCTCCTGAAATTATTAATTCCTGAGTGTCAGTTAAGCTATTGATAGGGAAAACATGTCCGGTGACTGAGGATGTCACACTTCATGTAACGAGTGGTCCCTAGCTTTTTGGGATCTGGGTATTTGGTTTTCAGGCATTCGGGTCACGCTAAAGTTTTCTTTGTGAATTGTTACAAAGGCTGGTTGTGGAGCCAGAGGGTGTGAGATGGATTTCCCACTGGTCCTTCAGGGAGGAAGGGCCGGCCTGTCTTGCCTTAGGCAAGCTTATCACATGAAAAGTAAGGCTTGATAAAGTTGCTTTTTTGACTTCACCTCCCACAATTCTCCTAACCAGGCTAGCCATAGGTCAGGATCCTCCGATGTCATAATGAGATCACAACCAGCAGAGGTTTTGTTTCTCTGCAAACTAAGAGGCAGTTAACAGTGAGGCTGGGCCTTCAACTGGTCAGGATGTCTCTTCCTGTTAGGTCAAGATGAGGGTTGAAGGTGGGCTACATGACCTGTTGACAGCTATGGTGTCATAGTGGATAGAGTGTCAGGCAGGAATTCAGGAGGCCTTGAGCGAGGATCCTAGAGGAGTGCGGAGGACCTTTAAAAATCACTGTATTCTCAAAAGCTTCAAGTTTCCCTTGCACTAATAGTCAACTATTCATTTTCTTTAAAGATGCGCCTGAAATTATTTATTCCTGAGTGTCAATTAAGCTATTGATAGGGAAAATATGTCCTGTGACTGAGGAGGTCACACTTCAGGTAACGAGTGGTCCCTAGGTTTTGGGATCTGTGTCTTGGTATTCAGGCCTTCGGGTCACGGTAAAAGTTTCTATGTGAATTGTTACGAAGGCTGGTTGTGGAGCCAGAAGTTGGGAGATGGATTTCCCACTGGTCCTTCAGGGACGAAGAGCCGGTCTGTCTTGCCTTAGGCAAGCTCATCACATGCAAAGCAGGGCTTCATAAAGTTGCTTTTTTGACTTCAGCTCCCACAGTTCTCCTAACCAGGCTAGCCATAGGTCAGTATCCTCCGATGTCATAATTATGTCACAACCAGCAGAGGTTTTGTTTCTCTGCAAACTAAGAGGCTGGGCCTTTAACTGGTCAGGATGGATCTCCCTGTTAGGTGAAGATGAGGGTTGACGTTGGGCTACATGACCTGTTCACAGCTATGGTGCCATAGTGGATAGAGTGTCAGGCAGGAATTCAGGAGGCCTTGAGCGAGGATCCTAGAGGAGTCAGCAGGAGCTTAAAAAATCATTTTATTCTCAAAAGCTTCAAGGTCCCCTTTTACCAATAGTCAACTATCTAGTTTCTTTAAGGAGCTTCCTAAAATTCATTTCCTGAGTGTCAATTAAGCTATTGATTGGGAAAATATGTCCTGTGACTGAGGAGGTCACATTTAAGGTAATGAGTGGTCCCTAAGATTTGGGATCTCGGTCTTTGGTTTTCAGGCTTTCGGGTCACTGTAAAGATTTCTATGTGAATTGTTATGAAGGCTGGTTGTGGAGCCAGTGGTTGGGGGATGGATTTTCCACTGGGCCTTCAGGGAGGAGGAGCCGGGCTGTGTTGCCTTGGGGAAGCTCATCACATGAAAATAGCAGGGCTTTGTAAACTTGCTTTTTTGATTTCAGGTCCTAACCAGTCTAGCCATAGGTCAGGATCCTCCGATGTCATAACGAGGTCACAACCAGCAGAGGTTTTGTTTTCTCTGGAAAGTAACAGGCTGGGCCCTCAACTGGTCAGGATGGCTCTTGCTATTAGATCAAGATGAGAGTTCATGGTAAGCTACATGACCTGTTGACAACTATGGTGTCATAGTGGATAGAGAGTCAGGCAGGAATTCAGGAAGCCTTGAGTGAGGAACCTTGAGGAGTGAGCAGGAGCTTAAGAAATCACTTTATTCTCAAAAGCTACATGGTCCCCTTGTACTGTCCATTTTCTTTAAAGAAGCTCCTGAAATTATCAATTCCGGAGTGTCAATTAAGCTATTGATATGGAAAATATGTCCTGTGACTGAGGTTGTCATACTTCAGGTAACAGTGAGGCTGGGCCTTCAACTACTCAGGATGGATCTTGAGCGTGCAACCTAGAGGAGTGAGCAGGACCTTAAAAGATCACTTTATTCTCAAAAGCTTCAACGTCCCTTTGTACTAATAGTCAACTCTCCATTTTCTTTAAAGATCCTCCTGAAATTATTAATTCCTGAGTGTCAATTAAGCTATTGATAGGGAAAATATATCCTGTGACAGAGGATGTCACACTTCAGGTAACGAGTGGTCCCTAAGTTTTGGGATCTGGGTCACTCCTCACCTAGAGGAGTGAGCAGGAGCTTAAAAATGGTATAATGTTCACTTCCTTCTAGCTGGCAGTTAAAGAGTACCTCCTTGGTGCAGGGTTGAGAATTGCAGTTCGGGTTTTTTAATTGCTAGCTGGAATAAAGTAAATGTTAGACTGTCTGCCTTTATCATGTGAAACAAAGCAACAGGTTTTCAGAGAGTGTTTCTCCTGATGCCCTGCTTGTTGCTTTGGATTATCCATGTCCCATCATCATCATCATCATCATCATCATCATCATCATCATTAGTGACATCAAGTTAATTATTATATAGCAACCGTTTCTAGCTTTTTCTTAGTACTCAGCAGTGGTCTATCATTCCCTTCTTCTGGCGGTGGCCTGGGTCTCTGCAGGTTGCCCAAGGCCACACACACTGGGTCTACTCACAGGAGGCATGGGGGTGGGGGATTTTTAACTCCCATTCTCTGGCTTGGCAGCCTGATACCCGAACCATTGAGCTATCCAGCCAGTTTCACCATAATAGGGTTCCTGTAAACCTATAAATGTACCCCTGATAAAACACACATTTGTTGTTCCTGTTATGGTGGGACCCACACTCTTTGACAGAGTGACTGGTGAGACATGAGATACAAAAGATTAAGAATTACTGATTCACACTAAGGGGTTTCGTGTGTATGATTTTAGCTTGCATAATCACTATGCACACTCTTGCACATCATTTGGCCATGCCCTTTCTCAATCATCAGTTGTTATGGTAACTGGGTAAGTGCATTTGGGGTCCAATCAAATTTCTGCAAAGGCAAATATCTGACCTAATCATTCATTCTTTCTTTCATTCATTCATTCATTCATTCAATTTGTATCCTGCTTCCTTTAGTGTCACAGTACTACTCTGGGTGGCTTACAACTCATAAAATAGAAAACACAAATACAAAGAGAAATATTAAAATTGATAACAATAACCTAAAAAGAAAAAGAAAATAAAAAAACAGATGTCTCCAACTAATCTCAGAGCAAATGGAGGAAAAGAGGGGAGGGACGAGGAGGATCACTAGAACATGAGCATTCTCCTTTTAAAGTGACTCTTCTTTCTGCCAGGGAATTGCTCCAGTTCGGCCCCCAAAAGTAGAAGGCCTACAGCTGGACCAAAAAGGTCCCAATTAGGCACAGATCAGGCAGGACTAGAGTGTTATTCCCCATATGTCATGTGATCACTGAGAAATAGATTGCACCAAACTGCTCTACAAGCAATCCAAGTTGCAATCCATTTCCCTGTGTGATCTTACCCTAGGTTCTTTTTCCTCATCTCACCCACCATCAGCAGTTACAGGCAGGAACACAGCTCAAAAATCTATACAGCTACCGTTAATGATTGGATCCAGACTTAGTCATTCATAGAATACCTCAATGAAATCAGTGGGGTAAGTTTTTGATGCCTTGTAGATTTCAAAATGTGCGATCAAAGTATGACCAAGGCTGGATGCAAGCCTGTGTTCTACAAACAATTAAAGTTTTCATCTCAAAATCAGAAGTATATTAGTCAGTGTTTCCAGGATTTTATTTTGTTTTTTTTTTTTTAAAAAAAATAACACCAACAACACTAACAAGAGGATATTTCTCATGCAAATTAATTTTAATGCACATTCTTGTGTGTTTTTGAGCAGAATAGTGACCAGATGTCTCTGAATGCCTCCAGCAATTGGGTACTGCTGCTTCCCTGACCCAGAATAAACCCAAGCCAGGTTTCCAATATGTTCTGGTTTGTGATGGGTGGCTGATTTGTAAAGCTGTTTGACTCTCTTTCTCTGCTGCTTCAATAAGCAAGGTAATCTTTCTTTTTCTTCATACAGAACCTGGTCTAGTGATCCAGAATACAAGGTCATACTCCAGAATGTTGTAATCAATTAATACTGCTAGAGATAAATATAGTATTGCCTATGGAACAAGGAGTGTTGCCAGATTTTCAGCTTGGAATCGATAAACTAAGATAAAAGTGAGGTGATTTTCTCAAAACAGAGATACTTCAGAGTGATTATATAGGACCTGCAGTTTGCAGCACTTTCCATAATTATCTCTGAGGAAGTAGACTTGTCCACAAAAGCTCACATTAATATATAGCACTTGGTCTTTCAGACGAATTCAGACTAGAACGTTTTTGTCTTACTTGGGTTTTTTTCCCTTTGGTTTTGCCTCATAATCATGTGATTACTTATGATTGTGGTCAAAATGTTGGAGACAAATAGATTTCCTCTCCGCTTTCCCATGCAGGGATGCACATTGGCCACACACCCTTAAAAAATATAAAGGCCTGAGTCCAACTATTAATCCCAATTAGGGTAAACCCACTGAATCAGTATTATTTATGTACATGCTGACTCACAATTCAGTGATTGATTCAAGGGGTCTATCTAGTTGGAATTACTAGCTGAATTTAGCCCAAGGTGCTTCTAAACACGGTTTTCTATGTGTAATAGTAACTAACTGCTTGAAAAAGTACCTTCCTGTACTTTGAGAAAGAATTGAATTAGGGTGACCACTTCCATACTGTGGCACTTGCCCTTGTGGACCCTGTTTTATTTCGTCCTCACAACGGCTTGCGCTCCTTCCTCCTCTTCACGCTGCCACCAGATGTGATTTCTTTAACATCAATTAAGTACTGGACACTTAGGCTGCCAAACACAATCAGTTTATTGAACAGGGTGGGGGTTAATAATCAATTGGAAATTGCAGTATAAATCACATGAAGTGAATCACATATATTAAACAAGGTTTGTTTCATTCAAATTGCTCTTTTAACTCTATCTATCTATCTCTGACCCTACTGGTCCAATTCCCAAGCCTCCAGCTCTCCAACCCTTTTCCAGCCCTTTCTCTCCTTCTTCCCGACTCCTCAAAACTCCTCTCTGCCCCACCTTCCAGTCTCTCTATTGGCTCTCCTGTCAAGGTTCCACCGTGACAGACAGATGACGTCTGGGCTATCCATTACACATATCATCAAAATGGCAGACACAAGTTACCAAAAAGGTGGATCTGATTTGTGCAACAAATTTAGAGGAATATGTGTGAATTTAGTAGTAGTTAGCCTAATTTACCCATTCACGGCTTGAGTAATACAGAGAAGCTATGGGCTATGCCGTGCAGGGACACCCAAGATGGACAGGTCATAGTGGAGAGATTGGACTAAACGGGATCCACCTGGAGCAGGAACTGGCAAGCCACTCCAGTATTTTTGCTGCCAAGAAAACTCAATGGACAGAAATAAAAGGCTAAAAGATATGATGCTGGAAGATGGGCCCCTCAGGTCGGAAGGCGTCCAACATGCTACTGAGGAAGAGCAGAGGACAAGTCGCTCCAGAGCTAATGAAGTGGTTGGCCCAAAGCTGAAAGGACGCTCAGCTGTGGACACTCCTGGAAGTGAAAGGAAAGTCCAGTTCTTCAAAGAAGAATACTGCTTAGGAACTGGAATGTAAGATCTATGAATCTTGGTAAACTGGATGCGGTCAAACAGGAGATGGTAAGAATCAACATTGACATCCTGGGCATCAGTGAACTAAAATGGACGGGAATGAGTGAATTCAGTTCAGACGATTATCACATCTACTATTGTGGGCAAGAATCCCGTAGAAGAAATGGAATAGCCCTCATAGTCAACAAAAGAATGGGAAAAGCTGTACTGGGATACAATTTCAAAAATGATAGAATGATTTCAATACGAATCCAAGGCAGACCTTTCAACATCACAGTAATCCAAGTTTCTGCACCACCCACCAATGCTGAAGAGGCTGAAACTGACCAGTTTATGAAGACTTACAACACCTTCTAGAACTGACACCAAAGAAAGATGTTCTTCTCATTCTAGGGGATTGGAATGCTACAGTAGTGAGTTGAGAGATAAATGGAACAACAGGTAGGTTCATTCAAAATGAAGCAGGGCAAAGGCTAATAGAGTTTTGTCAAGAAAACAGGCTGGTCATCACAAACACTCTTTTCCAACAACCATGTGTAGAATCACCACATGGACATCACCAGATGGGCAATACCAAAATCAGATTGATTATGTTCTCTGCAGCCAAAGATGGAGAAGCTTTATACTGTCATGCGAAAGGCTGGACTGGATGAATCCCAAGCCAGAATTAAGATTGCC